TCGGACAGGGAAGTCGTACGTTGCGGCACGTCGATAGGTGGAGGCGGAGGCGGTGGCCCAGAAGATGCGCAAGGCGGCGGCACACTGGAAGGCGAAGGCGGAGGCGGCGCAGCAGGCAGCGCCGGCCGAGGGGTCTGACGCTGCGAGCCAGGTGGTTGCGCAAGGGGGGGAAGGAAGGGGGAGGGTAGTAGCAACAGCGGAGACGGGAGAGTAAGGAAGGGGGAGGGTAGTAGCAACAGCGGAGACGGGAGAGTAATGCTGACTCTGCGAGCCAGGTGGCGGCGGCGGAGGCGGCGGCGGAGGCGGCGAGGACGGAGGCGGCGGCGGCGGGCGCTGCGAAGGCCGAGGTCGAGGCGAGGCTGGCGGAGGCGGAGGCGAGGCTGGCGGCGGCGGCGGAGAGTGCCAAGGCTGAGACGGCGGCGGCGGAGGCGGCCAAGGCGGAGGCGGAGGCGATCGGCAACGCCAAGGCAGCACGCGCGCACGCGGCGGCCACTTGAGAGTTCGGACAGGGAAGTCGTACGTTGCGGCACATCGATAGGTGGAGGCGGAGGCGGTGGCCCAGAAGATGCGCAAGGCGGCGGCACACTGGAAGGCGAAGGCGGAGGCGGCGCAGCAGGCAGCGCCGGCCGAGGCGGGCCAGAGCGCTGACCAGCCCAACGAGGCTGCCGACCAGACCTCCCGCGTGGCGGAGCTGGAGAAGAAGCTGGAGAGCATGGAGGCGGCCGTGGAGAAGCTGCGGAAGGCGGCGCGCCACTGGAAGTCGAGGTTCGATGAGGTTTCGGGGGCCAAGCAGAGCTCGTAGGCTCAGGCGCACGGCGTGAAATGCTCCGATATGCGCACGCACGCGTGCACACGTTCGTTGTACGGTATCGGTTTGTTTTGGCGCCCCCCCTGCCAAAACTCCCTCGCACAACACTGGGCCGCGGTGACTCGAGGAGGCCGCCGGGGCCCGGGCGCGTGTCTTGAAGGTCCGATACTGGAAGCCCATGCAGGCCTGTGCGTGGGCATAAAAAGAATTTCACAACAAAGCTCCCTCGAGGACGCGCACACTTGGCACGCGCACGGGACTGGCGCGAAAAAGAAATGTCGAGTGCGTTCCTCGATAGGCCACCTCCGCTCAGCGTGACTGGTGCTGCTCCGGCTCCGGCTCCGGCCTTGCTGCCGCTCGTCCCCGCGGCCTCGAACCTCCCTGTGTCCTCCCGTTGTTCCCATGCACCCGGCTCTGTGCGCAAGCCATGGCTACCTCCGCAGCAGCGCTCATCCGTTCTACTCCACTCGCTTGAGCTACGGAGCAGATGTCTGCCCGCTGATGCCTCGTCGCGCAAAGGAAGCTTATCGCGTTATAGTCCGCCCACCTTCTCCATCGCCCTTCAGAACTGCGAGGGCATGCGTCCCGTGACATCCGCTAGGTGGGGGGCCGATGAACCGGACCACCACCATATCACAAACTCGTGCGTCCCGCTTGAAGCGTAGAGTCTCAAAATGCTGCAGTCCCGGCGCAAGACAGGCGCTGATATATATATATGAAGCTAATCACGTCCCGTGAACCACCGTGAACCACCCAAGAATGTCGACGAGCGAAGAGCGCGACAGCAAGAAGGAGCGGCGGGGCGAGAAGGAGAAAGGAGAGCGGGGCGAGAAGGAGAAGTACGCGCCGCCGCACCGTCGGCGCAGCCGCAGCGCCAGCCGAGAGAAGAGCAAGAAGAAGAAGGAGCGCGGCCGCAGCCGCGAGCGCAAGAAGGAGAAGCGCGCACGCAAGGGCCGCAGCAGCAGCGGCAGCAGCCCGAGCCGGAGCCGCGATAAGCGGCGCGGGCGGAAGGAGCGCGACGAGCGCAGCCGCAGCCGCGACCGCAGTCGCGACCGCAGCCGCCGCAAGGAGCGCGGAGACGGCGAAGAGCGCGGCGACAAGCGGCCGGTCGGCGACATCCTCGACG